ATTGGTGCACGCCCGGGATCCGAACCCAGGTTGCCAGCAGCAGAGCGCGCGCACTTAACCGCTACGCCACGGGGCCGGCCCCCTCAAATATATTTAAAATAACCAGAATACAATACAAAATTACCTGACATATGAAGATCCAGGAAAATCTCAACATGCCATAAGGAAAAAGATAATCAATATGCACCAACCTCAAAATGACACAGAACTTTTAATTAACAGACTTTAAAGCAGCTATTACAATCATATTCTGAGAAGTCAGAGCAGCCACTCTTGAAACAAACAGCAAGACAGAGTATCAGCAGACAAAAGATACAAGAAAAATACTAAGGGGAAAATTTTATAACTAAAAGCTATAATCACAAATAAAACATTCACTTGATCTGCTAAATAGCAGAATGAAGATGACAGAGAGTCAGTGACCTTGAAGATAAATCTTCAAGATTCATCTTGATAAAATAGGAAGCATCCAATAGGAACAAGAGACAGAAAAAAGAGTGGGAAAAAGTGTACAGAGCCTCAGAAACCTACGGGACAATAACAAAGGGCCTATTCTCCGTGTCATCAGAGTCCAGAACGAGAGGTGAAAGAGTGCAGTGCAGAAAAAATACTTGCAGAAATAATGGCTGAAAATTTCCCACATTTGGGCAAAGTCGTAAAGCGTTAGATTCAAGAAGCGCAGCAAACCTCAAAGAGGATACGCCCAGGCCCAGACACACCACAATCCAACGACTGAAAACTAAACATAAAATTTTAAAAAAACCTTGAAAGCAGCCAGAGAAAAATGACACATTACATATAGAGGAACAACAATGTGAATGACTGCAAATTTCTCATCAGAAATGGAGGCCAGAAGGAAATGGTACATTTTTAAGGTGCTGAAAGAAAAGGACTGCCAATAACTCTATATCCAGTGAAAATATCCTTCAAGAATGAAGATAAAATAGGGGCTGGCCCGGTGGTGCAGGCGGTTAAGTGCACGCGCTCCACTGCAGTGGCCCGGGGTTCGCTGGTTCGGATCCCGGGCGCGCACTGACGCACCGCTTGTCAGGCCATGCTGTGGCGGCGTCCCATATAAAGTGGAGGAAGACGGGCACGGATGTTAGGCCATGGCCAGTCTTCCTCAGCAAAAAGAGGAGGATTGGCAACAGATGTTAGCTCAGGGCTGATCTTCCTCACAAAAAAAAAAAAGAATGAAGGTAAAATAAAGGCATTCTCAGATTTTAAAAACTCAGAAAATTCATTGCCAACATACCTGCAACATAAAAGAAATGCTAAAGGAAGTTTTCAGATGGAATGGAAATAATACCGAAGGGAAAATTCAAACTTCGGAAATGAAGAGCAACAAAAACAGTAACTATCTAGGGAAATATCAGAGCATATTTTTCTCCTCCTAAGTTTTAGAATATATATGTCAGTTAAAAGCAAATGTATATCAGTTTAAAGCAAAAATTATAACATTGTTTGATGGGGTTTTCAATGTATGTAAATATAGTACATACGACAACTACAATATAAAAAGGGGGAGAGTAAGGGGTCCTCTATATAAATTTCTCCAATTTTGTGGCATGCATTTTCATTATCTTAATGGTATATTTAAAAGAGAAAATGGCTTTAATTTTGATAGTGTCCTATTATTAACTATAACAGGGGCTTCTCTACTAAGGGGTAATGAGAACTCTACAGAATAGAGGAAGAGCCGATACAGAGGAGAGCAGGCACTACCTCTAGACCCTAAGGCAGATCACCTAAGAAAAGAATGAATGTGGAAGAGATTCCCAGGATAGCTTGTTAAATGAGAAAAGTAAAAAACAAGAGTATAAAATTAATAGTATGCTATCCTTTGTGTAAGAAAATATACATCTTTCTGCTTATTTTTACAAACAAACACAGGAAAGATAAACCAAAAAATCGTGAAATTGATTATCTATAGGGGATGGGTGGGAATTGGGTTGAAGTGATGGTGGGCGAGTGATGTTTCTCTGAGCATCTTTTTGTGTAATTTTGTCTTTTGAAACCATATTAATGTTTAACAAAAAATAAAATTAAGTTTGGAGTGACACTAAAATGTACAAACAGAAACAAATGAACCTAACCGTATTTCAAGTCAACATCATAACCATACTGAATGGAGAAAAAACTAATCCAAGTAATTTTTCTTAATAATTTTATTTATTTATTTTTCCCCCAAAGCCCCAGTAAATAGTTGTATGTCATAATTGCACATCCTTCTAATTGCTGTATGTGGGACGAGGCCTCAGCATGGCCAGAGAAGCAGTGTGTCGGTGCGTGCCTGGGATCCGAACCTGGGCTGCCAGCAGCAGAGCTCGCGCACTTAACCACTAACCCACAGGGCCGGCCCAAATCCAAGTAATTTTTGAATACAGTATTTTGACTGTAAAATCCAGGACAAAGACAAAAAGTCTTCAAAAAATAACGAACCCTGGAATTAGTATGTTCCTTTTTGCAGTGGCATGGGCTAGCAATCTTGTAACGATTACGCAGTGTATTCTAACTCAGGATTAAGCAAATGGGTGTGTGTGACAGAGAGAGAGACAGACAGAGACAGAGACAGAGACAGAGACAGAGAAATCACTACAATCCTACCAACACTGTGGAAGGTAATTTGGCATTATCTAGTGAAACTGAAGATATACGTGGTAGATTGAAGACATATGGCCACGGTACTTTGCAGCTCCTCTCATCAAGAGGTAAAGTCTATTTTTCCATCTCTTGAGTCTAAGGTAGCTTTGTGACTTCCTTTGACCAAAGAAATGTAGCAGCAATGACAATGGGAACATTCCCATGCCTAGGCTTCAAGACACTTTGCTGATTCCGCCTTTGTTCTCTGTGAGCTGCCATATGAGGAAGCCCAAGCTAGCCACATGGAGAGGCCTTCTGGAAGAGAATAGGCCTTGCTGACCGGAAAGCTGACTGCGAGCTCTGGAGTGAGCCCAGCCAACACCACATACAGCAGAGCAGTGCACTCCCAGCTGGGCCCAACTGAAGGCAGACATGTGAGTTAACCCATGCAAGCCCAACAGAAGAACTTTCCAGCCAAGCCACAAAATCATGAGAAATAGTAAATCATTGTTGTTTTCAGTCATTGACTTTTGGGGTGATTTGTTACACAGTAATAGATAACTATGCCCCAACAATCTCACTCATAGGTATATACCCTAGAAAAATGTGCACACACACAGTACATTAGGAACACGTATAAGAATATTTAGAGCAGCATTGTTTTGAGAGCCCCAAACTGGAAAGACTCCAAAGGTCCATCGACAGTAGAATGGATAAAGAAATTGTGGTACAGTCATTCTTCACTTAACAACACGAATACATTCTGAGAAACGCATCATTAGGCAATTTCATAGTTATGTGAACATCATAGAGTGTACTTACACAAACCTAGATGGTATTGCCTACTACACATCTAGGCTATACGGTACTAATCTTACGGGACCACCATCATATGTGTGGTCCATCATTGATCGGAACATCATTATGCGACGCATGACTGTGTATTCATATACCAGAACATTATACAGCATTAAAAAGCACAGACTAGAGCCACACACAACAATATGGATGAATCTTACAATCATACGTTGAATGAAAGAAGTAAAATAATACAAAGAGAATATATATAAATGAACAAACTACACAAATGGACATACTAAACTATATTGCTTTATATAAGTGTACAAATCAAACTATATTGTTTAGATAGGCATACATAGATAATAAAATATAAAGAAAAACAAAAAACCAATTATCATAAAAGGCAGGACAGTGCTTACCTCTAGGAGTGAAGAAAGAGGTTCTAATTAGAGATACATAGAGAGGCTCCAGGGTCATTCCAGTTCTTAACATTGATGGTGTTTATTTTATAGTTCTTTACACTGCACATTTTGTTTCATGTGTGTTTCTATATGTATGTAATATCTCATAATAAAATGTTTTTTAAAAACATTAAAAATTACCATTACACTCCTAGCAGATTGGCAACAATTTTAAAGTTTGACCAAGTTTAATCAAGTGTTGTGCAGAAAGTAGAATACATGGAATTCTCACACATCATAAACCACTTTGAAAATCAGGCAATATATGGTAAAACTGAAGGTGTGTCTACCCCACCCAGCAGTTCCATTCCTAAGTACATACCCTAGAAAACTCTTGCATGTGTGCACATGCCCAGGTATCTTCTAGAAGAAAATGGCGGTTATTTTCATGGGTTAGGATTGCAGGGGACAAATTCAGCTTAGGTTTGCATCCTCTGGGAGTCCTTCTCTGACTAGCCCAGGCAGAAATAATGGCTCTGTCTTCTGTCTTCCCCATCACTCCTGCTACCGGATATCATGAGTTTATGACTATCTGATTAAGTATCTAATTCCCTTCCCCCTTTCTCCCTCCAAAAGTGAAAATTCAATGAAGGCAAGGACTGTGCTCTGATTCACCTGTCCATGCCCCTGTGGTACACAAAGAGTACTTTCTAAATGTCTGACGGATGTTTTTTAAATTAATGCCTAAAGAATAAAAAACAGGGGTGAGCAGACAGTAAAGGCTCTGGTTCTGAGAGTCCTTTTGGGATTTAAGTATGATAGATTGACAGAAATCCCTAAATTTAGAAGTTGACAATTAAGAATGAGGACATTCAGGAAGAAGGTTCTCCAGATGGGTGTGGTCTTAGATGCTGTCTGGGACTAGCATAACCTTGATGTTTGCCACTTTTAGCATATCTCTGTGGTGGTAGTCCGAGGTGTACAGTTGTCAACCTCTGAGTTTGAAGATTTCTAGGGCTAGAAAAGGGCTCTCAGAAGGATAATATATGACAGGGATTCTATTGTCTCTGTTTTTCACTCTAAGAGAAAACGGGCTTGCAAGGGCATCTAAGGCTGAGATGTGTGAATATGGATCTTTGTAGCACCTCTAAGGTTAGGATCTCTGGGTTTGTAGTTCCCTGGGGCTGGGACCCTCGACTAAGGGGCTGGCCTTACTTCTCACTGCAGCGGTGCGTGATGACTGTCGCCCAGAAGCCCAGGACAGAGAAGACAAAAATTGTGAAAAGCAGCATGGTGACCAGGTTGATCAGAGCCACAACAAAGGCATCATTGAGACAGTTGTTGGATGCGTGCATGTGCGAGGATAAGGAGACAATGGGGCCAAAGCCTAGGCCCAAGGCAAACAAGACTAGGATCCCTGCTTGGCACCACACATTCATGTTGTACATAGCCGATACCTAAAAGGGAAAAGACAAGTATAAGGGGGAATGTCAAAGAAGGAGAGGAGAACCTTAACAGTGGGGGAGAGGGACACGGAGGGAGATATTGGGGAAAGGACGCCCTAAAAATAGGCAATAGGTGTCCTCTAAGGCCTGATAGGGGAGTGAGGAAGATACACCTTACCTTGGCAAATGCCAAATATTGAAGGCCAAATACCGCCCCTTCCAGCAGTAGACTCCGGATAAGAAAACAGAGGACGATGAAATAGGGGACTGGTACCAAGACATACATTACCTGAATTGAGAGTGGGACACATCAGCAACCATGGACCAGTGGGAGTCAAACAATAGTCAGCAGGGATCAAAAGTTCTGAGTCAGAAATGAGGAGGAGTTAGACGACAGCTTTCAGCAGGGGTCAGGGGTTAGCAGGAGTAAAAGGCCAGATGGAGTGAGAAATTACAAGATTAATGAGTAACAATGTTAGGCGAGGACTAAAGCATCTGAGAACATCAAGAAATCCAAAAATGGTGGCTCACCTTCCCAGTGGACTTGAGCCCTTTGATCATGCAAGCACCAATAAGACACCAGGCCACCAACAAGGGCAGGCTCAGGCTGAAGACTGGTGGCCCACCATCCTCAATTCTGTCTGAGGCCTTCAAGGTCAGCCGGTACCAGAAGTACGTGGAGGGTGTCGTCCGTGCACATTCAGGATCTGGGGGGACCTGGCTTTGGACACTCCTGCTAGACAGAGTGACCCCTCCCCTCTTCTTTAGGCCTTCCCCCACCTCCCTCTACTCCTTCCCCTCCCATTTCTTCTGCCTTCTACTGCCTTCCTTTTCTTTATCCACCCCCCGCTCCTTTCTCCTCTTACAAATTCCCTTCCACCTCTGTTTTCCCCTTCTCCTCCTCTTTTACTTCCTCCTCACCAAAGTCACTGGAGTTCTTCAGTAAGGGACATTTCTCCCATGGAAGGGGAAACTGGAAGGATTGGCCCAAATAGAAGAGGGTCCAGGCATTGACCACATTCAAGTACGAGCCGGTGATGAAGCACACCTGGGGATCAGGGAGGAGGTGGCTGGGGAGGAAAAGTGGGGACTAGAACGGAGGGGATTTGACAGAGGATTGGGGAGCTGAAGGGACTTGACCCATGGAAATGAAGTCACAGGACTCACTCCAGGACAAGGGTTAGGATGGGGTGGGGTGTAAAGGGTAGGCCTGGGCAACCCAGGGCTCCTCACCATGAAGCTGGTATACCCCACACCACCAATCCAGGGGCCAATGAGCTTCCACACACCAACGCTGCCCTGACGCATCCTCTGACCAGCTGCCATCTCCAGGAAGAGGAGAGGAATCCCGATCAAGAACATCATGACAGTGTAGATGATGAGAAAACTGCCTGTGCAAGCAATTCAAGGAGGGGCTCTGAGAACTCTCTGGCTTTTCAGTGCCTGGACTTCTTCGGGGGTCCAGGAAAATATATTCCCCACCAGTGACCTCCCTCAGGGCCACAGGCATCAGGACTCAACTGTTGAACATCCCTCATAGTCCCAGGTGTCCAGTCCCTTGGCCCCCAATTCCTGGAAGACCCATATACCTAGTTTCCACCCCCATGCCCGCACCTCTACCCCTCTCATGACCCTAGGTGTTCAGGCACCTGGTTCCTATCCTGCTCAGAATACCAAATCTCCAGCTTCTACACATCCCAGAGACCTTCAAGTTGAAGCCTGGACAGGCCTCTGTCCTGCTAGCCCCTTGTATATCCATGATTCCTGGTCCCCAGACTTACAACCTCCGTTGCGAAGCCACAGGAAGCTAAAACGCCAGAGACTGCCTGCCCTCATGGAGTAGCCCACCTGGGCCAGCATATACTCAACTTTGTTGGACCAGAGTGGACGGGTGAAGAGGGCCTTACTCGTTTCCTTCTCTGACACTTGCACGTTCTCAGGTAAGAGTTTCCATTTCAGGGCTGGGGCAGCTGCCACTGGCAATACAGAGGTTTGCCTGGGTTGGCTGGCCCTGCTCTGAGCCTCAGAAGCGTGAATCTCCCAGGCCTGAGCCTTCGCAGCCTGGGTCTCTGAAGCCTGGGCCTCTGAAACCCAGGCCGTCAGAGACCAGGTTGCTATGCCCTTGTCTTCCCAAGTTTGGCTTCCTGGGGCACTCTCAGAAAGATTTAACTCAGTAGATGAGGCTTTTGTTGGGTAAGATTCTGAAGCCTGGGCCTCTGTCTTCATTCCAGGCGGACTCTCTGGAGCAGCTTCAGCGTTTTCGAGGGAGGGTTCATCTTCCTGAGTAGGCCTTAAGGACACCAAAAACTAGATTTCAGAGTCAAGGAATAACTGAGTTCCAAAACAGTCCTCAACACCTCCTTAAAGCAAACTTTTCATTTCTGTCCCTACCACCACTGAAATTCAAAGCACAAAAAAATCCCTTACATAAGTTTTACTTCTTAGAAGCATTTTGGTGAAAGGGATTAGGGTAGAGATAGCCAAGCTTAGAGTTCAGGAATTCCACTCAAAGAGTTTCTGAAAATATTGAGGTATACTGCCTACAGAGGGAGGTACATTTATAGTGGGCTTTTGAATCAAAGAAACTAATTTAATACTAAATCTGCCTTGTAACCTTAGGAAAGTTGCTTTACCTCTCTGAGCTTTCTCATCTGTAAAACACCCAGGTCTCTGCTCAAATATCACCTCACCTAAGATGCCTTCCCTGCCCATCTGTCTAAAATAGCAGCTACCTACCCACCACTCTCTCCATCCTAGCCACTTTTATTTTTCTCCATAGCTTTTCTCACCTCCTGATGTGGTTATCTATTGATAGTTAATCTAGTTATTGCCTATTTCCCCCTCCCCCACTGCTGCTCTATTCCCAGCAAGAGGACGGTGCTCTACCTCATGTCCGGGGCCACTTTCCTCTCTGCTCTCTGTGCTTTCGCCATTCCCGCCTTTTGTTGGCTCTTCAAATGCTCTACAAGGCAAAGGGCAAGGAGCGTGCTAAAAAAAAAAAAACAAAAACAGGATGTGGAAGAGGGGAAGAGAAAGGGAACTGGAGTTTTCTTTCAGAGGAGGAAGAAGCATGCCATCCAAAAGCAGAGGCAGTGGGTGGGCATCAAGGCAGCACTGGCACATCTGGGTCACAGGGATAATCAGTTGTGAGACACACTGTTTCCAAAGAGTTCTTTTTTTTTTTTTTTTTTTTTTTGAGGGAGATCAGCCCTGAGCTAACATCTGTGCTAATCCTCCTCTTTTTTGCTGAGGAAGACTGGCTCTGAGCTAACATCTATTGCCAATCCTCCTCCTTTT